CAATGTTAAAGTGTCTACCCATAGACTCCAATGTTAAAGTGTCTACTCATAGACTCCAATGTTAAAGTGTCTACCCATAGACTCCAATGTTAAAGTGTCTACCCATAGACTCCAATGTTAAAGTGTCTACCTATAGACTCCGATGTTAAAGTGTCTACCCATAGACTCCAATGTTAAAGTCTCCCACAGACTCCAATGTTAAAGTGTCTACCCATAGACTCCGATGTTAAAGTGTCTACCCATAGACTCCAATGTTAAAGTGTCTACCCATAGACTCCAATGTTAAAGTGTCTACCCATAGACTCCAATGTTAAAGTGTCTACCCATAGACTCCAATGTTAAAGTATCTACCCATAGACTCAAATGTTAAAGTGTCTACCCATAGACTCCAAGGCTAAAGTGTCTACCCATAGACTCCAATGTTAAAGTGTCTACCCATAGACTTCAATGTTAAAGTGTCTACCCATAGACTCCAATGTAAAAGTGTCTACCCATAGACTTCAATGTTAAAGTGTCTACCCATAGACTTCAATGTTAAAGTGTCTACCCATAGACTCCAATGTTAAAGTGTCTACCCATAGACTTCAATGTTAAAGTGTCTACCCATAGACTCCAATGTTAAAGTGTCTACCCATAGACTTGAATGTTAAAGTGTCTACCCATAGACTTCAATGTTAAAGTGTCTACCCATAGACTGCAATGTTAAAGTGTCTACCCATAGACTCCAATGTTAAAGTGTCTACCCATAGACTCCAATGTTAAAGTGTCTACCCATAGACTCCAATGTTAAAGTGTCTACCCATAGACTCCAATGTTAAAGTGTCTACCCATAGACTTCAATGTTAAAGTGTCTACCCATAGACTCCAATGTTAAAGTGTCTACCCATAGACTCTGATGTTAAAGTGTCTACCCATAGACTCCAATGTTAAAGTGTCTACCCATAGACTCCAATGTTAAAGTGTCTACCCATAGACTTCAATGTTAAAGTGTCTACCCATAGACTCCAATGTTAAAGTGTCTACTCATAGACTCCGATGTTAAAGTGTCTACCCATAGACTCCAATGTTAAAGTGTCTACCCATAGACTCCAATGTTAAAGTGTCTACCCATAGACTCTGATGTTAAAGTGTCTACCCATAGACTCCAATGTTAAAGTCTCTACCCATAGACTCCAATGTTAAAGTGTCTACCCATAGACTCCAATGTTAAAGTGTCTACCCATAGACTCCAATGTTAAAGTGTCTACCCATAGACTCCAATGTTAAACTGTCTACCCATAGACTCCGATGTTAAAGTGTCTTCCCCGTAGACTCCAATGTTAAAGTCTCCCACAGACTCCAATGTTAAAGTGTCTACCCATAGACTCCGATGTTAAAGTGTCTACCCATCGACTCCAATGTTAAAGTGTCTACCCATAGACTCCAATGTTAAAGTGTCTACCCATAGACTCCAATGTTAAAGTATCTACCCATAGACTCAAATGTTAAAGTGTCTACCCATAGACTCCGATGTTAAAGTGTCTACCCATAGACTCCAATGTTAAAGTGTCTACCCATAGACTTCAATGTTAAAGTGTCTACCCATAGACTACAATGTTAAAGTGTCTACCCACAGACTCCAATGTTAAAGTCTCTACCCATAGACTCCAATGTTAAAGTGTCTACCCATAGACTCCAATGTTAAAGTGTCTACTCATAGACTCCAATGTTAAAGTGTCTACCCATAGACTCCAATGTTAAAGTGTCTACCCATAGACTCCAATGTTAAAGTGTCTACCCATAGACTCCAATGTTAAAGTGTCTACCCATAGACTCCAATGTTAAAGTGTCTACCCATAGACTCCAATGTTAAAGTGTCTACCGATAGACTCCAATGTTAAAGTGTCTACCCATAGACTCCAATGTTAAAGTGTCTACCCATAGACTCCAATGTTAAAGTATCTACCCATAGACTCAAATGTTAAAGTGTCTACCCATAGACTTCAATGTTAAAGTGTCTACCCATAGACTCCAATGTTAAAGTATCTACCCATAGACTCAAATGTTAAAGTGTCTACCCATAGACTTCAATGTTAAAGTGTCTACCCATGTTAGACTGAGACACACTCTCTCTCTGAGAAACTGAGACACTGAGACACCGAGACAATGAGACACTGAGACACTAAGACACTAAGACACTGAGACACTAAGACACTCTCTCTCTGAGACACTGAGACACCGAGACACTGAGACACTGGGACAATGAGACATTGAGACAGTGAGAAACTGAGACATTGAGACACTAAGACACTCTCTCTCTAAGACACTGAGACACTGAGACACACTCTCTCTCTCTCTCTGAGACACTGAGACACCGAGACACTGAGACACCGAGACACCAAGACACTGAGACATTGAGACACTGAGCCACTCTCTCTGAGACGCTGAGACACTGAGACACACTCTCTCTCTCTCTCTGAGACACTGAGACACCGAGACACTGAGGCACCGAGACACCGAGACACTGAGACACTCTCTCCCTGAGACACTGAGACACTCTCTCTCTGAGACACTAAGACACTGAGACACCGAGACACTGAGACATTGAGACACTGAGACACTCTCTCTGAGACGCTGAGACACTGAGACACTCTCTCTCTGAGACACCGAGACACTGAGACACTGAGACAGAGACACTGAGACAGAGACACTGAGACAGAGACACAGAGACACTGAGACACAGAGACACCGAGACAGAGACACCGAGACACAGAAACACTGAGACAGAGACACAGAGACACTGAGACAGAGACACTGAGACAGAGACACTGAGACAGAGACACCGAGACAGAGACACCGAGACAGAGACACCGAGACACAGAAACACTGAGACAGAGACACAGAGACACTGAGACAGAGACACTGAGACAGAGACACCGAGACAGAGACACCGAGACAGAGACACCGAGACAGAGACACCGAGACAGAGACACAGAGACACTGAGACAGAGACACAGAGACACTGAGACAGAGACACTGAGACAGAGACACTGAGACACTGAGACTGAGACACCGAGACAGAGACACCGAGACACTGAGACACCGAGACAGAGACACCGAGACAGAGACACAGAGACACAGAGACACAGAGACAGAGACACAGAGACACTGAGACAGAGACACAGAGACACTGAGACAGAGACACTGAGACACAAAGACACTGAGACAGAGACACTGAGACACAGAGACACTGAGACAGAGACACTGAGACACTGAGACACCGAGACAGAGACACCGAGACACTGAGACACAGGGACAGGCGAAGTTTTTAATTGCATCGTGCAGCGAGGCGCTGGCAACCGCCGTCACCCCGGGAGACGGTGACGTTACACGCTAGAGTTCAGTTGTTTGGGTTGGTGTGGGCGTGGCTTTGGCTGTGGGCGTGGCTGTGGTTATGGCTGTAGGCGTGGTTGTGGGCGTGGCTGTGGGCGTGTATGTGGCTGTGGGCGTGGCTGTGGCTGTAGCTGTGGTTGTGGGCGTGGCTGTGGGCGTGGCTGTGGGCGTTGGCTGTGGTTATGGGCATGGCTGTGGGCGTGGCTGTGGGCGTGGCTGTGGGCGTGGCTGTGGGCGTGGCTGTAGGCGTGGCTGTGGGCGTGGCTGTGGGCGTGGCTATGGACATGGCTGTGGCTGTAGCTGTGGTTGTGGGCGTGGTTGTGGGCGTGGCTGTGGGCGTGGCCGTGGGCGTGGCCGTGGGCGTGGCTGTGGGCGTGGCTGTGGGCGTGGCTGTGGGCGTTGGCTGTGGTTATGGGCGTGGCTGTGGGCGTGGTTGTGGGCGTGGCTGTGGGCGTGTATGTGGCTGTGGGCGTGGCTATGGACATGGCTGTGGCTGTAGCTGTGGTTGTGGGCGTGGCTGTAGGCGTGGCTGTGGGCGTGGCTGTGGCTGTGGGCGTGGCTGTGGGCGTGGCTGTGGTTATGGCTGTAAGCGTGGTTGTGGGCGTGGCTGTGGGCGTGTACGTGGCTGTGGGCGTGGCTGTGGGCGTTGCTGTGGCTATGGGCATGGCTCTGGCTGTGGGCATGGCTGTGGCTGTGGGCGTAGCTGTGGTTTTGGGCGTGGCTGTGGGCGTGGCTGTGGGCGTGGCTGTGGGCGTTAGCTGTGGTTGTGGGCGTGGCTGTGGGCGTGGCTATGAGCGTGGCTGTGGGCGTGGTTGTGGGCGTGGCTGTGGGCGTGACTGTGGGCGTGGCTGTTGGCTGTGGTTTTGGGCGTGGCTGTGGGCGTGGCTGTGGGCGTGGCTGTGGGCGTGGCAGTTGGCTGTGGTTATGGGCGTGGCTGCGGCTGTGGACGTGGCTGTGGGCGTGGCTGTGGCTATGGCTGTAGCTGTGGTTGTGGGCGTGGCTCTGGGCGTGGCTGCGGTTGTGGTCGTGGCTGCGGTTGTGGGCGTGGCTGCGGTTGTGGGCGTGGCTGTGGGCGTGGCTGTGACTATGGGCGTGGCTGTGGGTGGGTGTGGCCGAGTTCACTGCCACGCCACTGGCGGTGAACTGGGGGGCGGTGAACTCGGGGCTGGTGAACTCAGTGGTGGTGAACTCGGTGACGGTGAACTCGGTGGCGGTGAACACCGCGGCGTGCTGGGACTGGTTACGGCTTTCTGCGTTCGCAAAACAAACCTCAGGCGATAGGAGCGGATCTGTGTCTGTGTGTCTGTGTGTGTGTGTCTGTGTGTCTGTGTGTCTGTGTGTCTGTGTCTGTGTGTCTGTGTCTGTGTGTCTGTGTCTGTGTGTGTGTCTGTGTGTGTGTGTCTGTGTGTGTGTGTCTGTGTGTGTGTGTCTGTGTGTGTCTGTGTGTGTCTGTGTGTGTCTGTGTCTGTGTGTCTGTGTGTGTCTCTGTGTGTGTGTCTGTGTGTGTCTCTCTGTGTGTGTGTGTCTGTATGTGTGTATGTGTGTGTCTGTGTCTGTGTGTGTGTCTGTGTGTGTCTGTGTGTGTGTCTGTGTGTCTGTGTGTGTGTGTGTCTGTGAGTGTGTGCACCTCACACGGTGTGCCCGGCCATGTGCCTGACGAGGCTGTCCAGCCGTGCGAACGCGGCGCCGCACACGATGCACTCAAAGCGCTTCGCAGCGCCCCGCCGCAGCCGCCGGCCCCGCCCGCCGGCCCCGCCGGCCCCGCCGGCCCCGCCGTGCATCCTGCCGTGGGCCCTGAGGCTCGACGGCCGCGCGAAGCTCACGCCACAGACGCCGCACCGGTGACGAGCCGGCAAGACGGCCGCCGCCGCCGCCGCCGCAGCCGCCGGCGGCTGTCTCACCGCGACGTTGACGCGGCAAGACGGAGCCGCCCGTGGCGACGGGCGGACGACCGCCCGCCGCCGGCGGCGGCCGGCGGCGGCAGCGGCGGTGCACCGGGAGCACCGGCGGTTCCCCTCGCCGGCCGTCGCCGGCGAGGGGAACCGCCGGCGGCAGCCGCCGGACGCCGCCGGCGTCTCCGTCCCCCCGGCGTGCGTCTCGGCGTGGGCCGCGAGGTCCGAGGGCCGGGCGAAGGCGGCCCGGCACTCGGCGCAGCGGTGCCGCTTGTCGGCCGCCCGGTGCGTCGCCCGGTGGGCCGCCAGGTTCGCCGGCTGGGCGAAGGCGGCGGCGCACGCCGGGCACCGGAACGGCTTCTCGCCGGTGTGCGCCCGGCCGTGGGCGGCGAGCGCCCGCGGCTCGGAGAACGCCGACGGGCAGAGCGGGCACCGGAACGGCTTCGCCGCCGGAGTCCGTCGGTCCGCGCCGGCGCCGACCCGGCCCCGGCCCCGGCCCCGGCCCCGGCCGTGGGCCGGGGCCGGGGCCGGCGGCGCGTGTCCGCGGGCGTGCCGCTCCAGGTAGGCCCGGCAGGCGAAGGCCTCGCCGCAGACGCCGCAGCGGTGAGGCCGCGCGGCCTCGCGGTGCGCCCGTCGGTGCGTCCGCAGGGCGCGGCGGTGCCGGAACTCCTTGCCGCACGCCGGGCACTTGTGCGGCGGTGGCGGAGGAGCATGAGGAGGATGATGAGGAGGATGATGAGGATGATGAGGAGGATGAGGAGGATGATGAGGATGAGGATGAGGAGGATGAGGATGAGGATGATGAGGAGGATGATGAGGATGATGAGGAGGATGATGAGGAGGATGAGGATGAGGAGGAGGATGAGGAGGAAGATCGACGCCGCCGGAGGAGGGGCAGAGCTCGCACCGGGCCGGCGGTAGCAGCAGCGGCGGCGGTGACGCCGGCGGCGGCGGCGGTGACGCCGGCGGTGACGCCGGCGGTGACGCCGCGTGGCGCTGGAGGTGGGCGAGGAACCCGCGGGTGCTGCGGAAGCCTCGCTTGCCGCACGCGAGGCAAGCGAGGCGTGGCGGTGGTGGCGGCGGTGGCGGTGGCGGTGGTGGTGGCGGTGGCGCCGACTCTACGGCACGGAGGGCAGGCGGTGAGGAACGTGTGGTGAGGTGTAGTGTATAGTGTAGTGTAGTAGTGTATAGTGTAGTGTATAGTGTAGTGTAGTAGTGTATAGTGTAGTGTATAGTGTAGTGTATAGTGTATTGTAGTGTAGTAATGTATAGTGTAGTGTATAGTGTAGTGTAGTAGTGTATAGTGTAGTGTATAGTGTAGTGTAGTAGTGTATAGTGTAGTGTAGTAATGTATAGTGTAGTGTATAGTGTAGTGTATAGTGTAGTGTAGTAGTGTATAGTGTAGTGTATAGTGTAGTGTAGTAGTGTATAGTGTAGTGTAGTAATGTATAGTGTAGTGTATAGTGTAGTAGTGTATAGTGTAGTGTATAGTATAGTGTATAGTGTAGTGTAGTAATGTATAGTGTAGTGTATAGTGCAGTGTATAGTAGTGTAGTGTATAGTAGTGCAGTGTATAGTGTAGTGTATAGTAGTGCAGTGTATAGTGTAGTGTATAGTAGTGTAGTATGTAGTGCAGTGGTTCTTAACCTTGTTGGAGGTACCGAACCCCACCAGTTTCATATGCGCATTCACCGAACCCCTCTTTAGTGAAAAATAAAATGTGATTTTTTTCAAATTCAAGACATAGATATGTTTTTTACTGGTACACAAAATGAGCCGTGCATGAACATTACCTTGTTCAAAGAATAAAACCAACACAATGCATAAACTCACAACAAATTACATACCTGGAAATCAATGTGACTTCTGCTGTTGCCTTTGAGAGATCAGTTCAGATATGCGTGGCTTCACCTTGGCAAGTGCCACTCTCATGTCATTTTCACAGCAAAGTCTGTTCCTTTTCTTCGTTTTTATGTCCAGCATCCTCGAAAAGGATTGCTCACAAAGATATGTTGTAACAAATGGTATAAAAAAATCCAGGGCTTTCTTAGCAATAACTGGATACTTGTTCATTTGTCGACACCAAAACGTTGAGAGCGTTGTTGTTCTGAAGAGTTGCTGTTGAACCTGGCTCTGCTGAATTTCAATGATTTCGTCGAGGAATTCATCATTGACATCTGCTGTTTCAACAGCAAACGTGAACGGCTGTCTCACCCATGCTGGATATGACTCTTTTGTAGGGAAATATCCGTCGAGAGACTTTGCAAGCTCATCTAAGTGCGTGGCAATTGTTTGCTTCAGTTCCGTGGATACAGAAATATCTCCGATTCCAGACACATCTTCGATCTTACTTGCACAGTCGTCCAGAAGCGGGAAGTTTGCGAAGTTATTGTTCTCTGTTCGTCGTTTCCATAACGGTAGCTTTTTTTGAAAAGCCTTCAGGTGTTCTTCCGCTTCCATGATATTGACTCCACCACCCTGCATCTGCTGATTGAGATGATTGAGAGCTGCGAATATATCAGCCATGTACGCTAAAATGAGAATGAACTCAGGATTTTTGAAGCAATCTGCATGGCAGTGTTGGTGCTCTTGCAAAAACAGGGCTAATTCCACACGCATGGCAAAAACACGATTCAGCACCTGTCCCCGGGATAACCACCGAAGATTAGAATGGAGCAGAAGTACCTCAAATTCAGAGCCCATTTCTTTACACAGCTCACTGAAGATGCGGTGCCTCAGAGCACTTTTTCGCACATAGTTCACACATTCCACCACAGTTTTTAATACTTCTGTCATTTTTGGAGGTAAGGTTTTTGTTGCCAACGCATGCCTGTGCAGAATACAATGCGTCACAATGATGTGTGGTGCATCGGCCTTTACTAGCGCACCAAAACCAGACTTTCTTCCCAGCATGACTGGAGCTCCGTCCGTACAAACTGCAGAAACCATATCCCATGAAAGATTGTTGTCTATGAAGAAGTCATCCACAAGCTTCTTCACATCGGCTGCCTTCGTTGTTGTTGTAAGAGGCTTACAAAATAAAAACTCTTCTTTTATCATGTCGTCTTTCACATAGCGTACAAAAACAGCAAGCTGGCTTAGATCAGAAACGTCTGTGGTTTCGTCGAGTTGAAGGCTGAATTTTGCCGGGCTTGAAATCAGATCCGCGACTACTTGAGCCAAGATGTCTTTACTCATGTCTTCTATTCTGTCACTGACGGTGTCATTTGAAAGGGGAATTTGGGATAATTTACCTTCGGCCGCTGTTCCGAGTATCAGATTCGCCATCTTTAATGCAGCTGGTTTCACAAGTGTTTCACCAATGGTGTGTGGCTTGCCCTGCTTTGCGATCAGGTAAGCAACTTCGTACGATGCTGTCAGGATCGGTTTGTTAACAGGTACAAATCCAAGAGCAGGCAGAGTGGCCCTTTCATCGAATCTGGCTCTCTTCACCCTGAATTCAGCAAGTGTTGTGTTCTTGTATTCCCTGTCTCCATGCAGCTTCAAGAAGTGTTCCTTTAGTTTTGCCGGTGCAAGACTAGAGTTGCTCAACTTGGCGTTGCAAATCATGCAGATAGGACGCTCACTCCCATCACGTTCCGTGATACATGAGAATCCATGTTGTACATATTCGTCCGACCACTTTCTTCTTTTGCCCGACATAGTTAGTATGGATAAAATATTAAAGAAATCACACGACGTACGACAACAACAATCACACGTTGACTACTGAGTACGCACTAAATTCCCCGCAGCGCTGATTGGCCAAGCAGTGTAGCATGATCATCTGCAGCCAGTGATGGCCAAGCGGGCCGTGTGTGTCATCACAAATTTACACAATAATTCAAGTGTGTCCGGACCTCCGTGGCGGGGGCTCTGCCGAACCCCTGAGATCGACTCACCGAACCCCTGGGGTTCGATCGAACCCAGGTTAAGAACCACTGGTGTAGTGTATAGTAGTGCAGTGTATAGTGTAGTGTATAGTGTAGTAGTGTATAGTGTAGTGTATAGTGTAGTGTAGTAGTGTATAGTGTAGTGTATAGTGTAGTGTATAGTGTAGTGTAGTAGTGTAAAGTGTAGTGTATAGTGTAGTGTATAGTGTAGTGTATAGTGTAGTGTACAGTAGTGTATAGTGTATAGTGTAGTGTAGTGTATAGTGTAGTGTATAGTGTAGTGTATAATGTAGTGTATAGTGTAGTGTAGTGTATAGTGTAGTGTATACTGCAGTGTATAGTGTAGTGTATAGTGTAGTGTATAGTAGTGTAGTGTATAGTGTAGTGTATAGTAGTGTAGTGTATAGTAGTGTATAGTGTAGTGTATAGTAGTGTATAGTGTAGTGTATAGTAGTATAGTAGTGTAGTGTATAGTAGTGTATAGTGTAGTGTATAGTGTAGTGTATAGTGTAGTGTATAGTGTAGTGTATAGTGTAGTGTATAGTGTAGTGTATAGTAGTATAGTAGTGTAGTGTATAGTAGTGTATAGTGTAGTGTATAGTAGTATAGTAGTGTAGTGTATAGTAGTGTATAGTGTAGTGTATAGTAGTGTATAGTGTAGTGTATAGTGTAGTGTATAGTGTAGTGTATAGTGTAGTGCAGGGGTCACCAAACTACGGCCCGCGATATCAGTCCATCAGGCCCCGCCGACGGTACTTGAATTTGGTTGATGAAACTAGTGGAATACGAGACGCTGTGATACAATTTAAATATGTTTAGAATTCCGGGAGATCTTCACGCGTACGGAGACCTCCTGACTGCTATGTGCCTTCAATTTCCAATTTCCAATGTTAAATGTTAAATGATTGCATCTAGATTGTCTCCTTCATCGTAACGTTTGCTCATTTCGCGACATCCCAAGTACTTCCCCGGCCCGTGGTAGCTCCGCCTCCGCTCTGACGTTGCCGCGGTCTCCACGGCAACGTCATGGCAACACGTCACCGTGGTTTCCATGACGACACACACACACACACGGATTTTTGTTTTTTCCGGCCGGTCAACACAGCTCCGACGCTCCGTGAAAACATTCACCTCTTTTTTTTGCCCGTCGTCCATTTTATAGGTATGTAACAACGATTTTTTTTTTATTTAAAGCTTTCCCGACTGCAGTAATTCATATTCTTAGCTCTTTCGGTAAAGTCACCACCACGTTGAAGGGAAACAATAAAATAATAAATTTATAAATTTATTGCAAACCGACACACCTGATGACGACCGTTTGTGTTATGGTCGAAACGTCGTGAGAATTTTTATTGTTTTATATATTTTTTATTATTTTATTGTTTCCCTTCAACGTGGTGGTGACTTTACCGAAAGAGCTGAGAATATGGTGTGGGAGGAGTCTCACTGGTGGGGGAGGAGTCTACGGGTGGGGGAGGAGTCTAAGGGTGGGGGAGGAGTCTACTGGTGGAGGCGGAGTCAACGTAGACTCCTCCCCCACACCTGATGACGACCGTTTGTGTTACGGTCGAAACGTCGCGAGAATTTTTATTGTTTTATATATATTTT